GTGTGTGTGTGTGTGTGTGTGTGTGTGTGTGTGTGTGTGTGTGTGTGTGACAAAAATGAAATAGAAAACTAATAAATAGTTCTTGCCAAAATATTACCATTTCTGAGTAACAGCATCTTTGAGGAATATAGTAGAATGAGGATAACTTTGGAATGTTCTAGCATGTCATTTGAGAGAATAGCCTTGGTGACAAGTAAAATAGAGGTAAAACTGATTTCAACAATATATTTTTGGGTCATCATTAAAAAAATACTACAATATTTGCATTGCTACCTTTCCACAAATATAATCAGAGATCACTAAACATATGTTCAGACTACAAAAAAAAGTCAAAGCATTAAGATTTAAAAAGTCACCTGAATTGGAAGAAAAAACATTTTTATGAAAAGCTGAGAATGAGCATGTTCTCTGTGTAACTGCCAACTATCTTAACACTGAACTATGGTTTCTTCAGTTTATTAATCAAAATTTCAAATCAGAACCAAGCCATTACAGATATGGTTAATAGATGGGTTTTAAATAATTATCAGTGTAAATGTAATGGGAATGTAATAGGCCTTGTGTTCTAAGTTAAGTACATTATATTAGGTAATGGTGATATATCACTTTCTGTTCATCCATTCATTGAAAAGACCTAGTATACTTGGATTAACAAGGCATCCTGTATAAGAAGTCCCTACCCAAGAAATTGGAACATGCCATTATACCTAAATCCTATTCATGTTTATTTAAAAGTAAGTCTCAATGAATTTATAGGTAAATTGCACATACAAGTATCTTTATTAAGGATTACATCCCATGGATTTCAGTTTCTTTAGAAAGATATCTTTAATATAAAATTTTAAAATTTTATTTTTAATTACTCAGAAATAAATTACACTGAATTAAGCAAGACTTACTCTTATGTAACGTCATATAAGATTGGAGCCTTAGACTGAAAACTATTTCTGAAAAAACTGTTTTGGCATGATTTATTAAATTAAGACTAATCAACCACATATTAGAATGACATGAATTCAGGCTATGTGATTGTATTGATGCATAAACTCTGATATATGATAACCAAATCTTAAAAACTACTAACTTAAAACTACACACACATACACACACTTTTTGTTACTCTACTTTGCTTAAACATGTTGCCAAGAACAGATGGATAAGGAACAAAAACATTTTATTTCATTTTCATAACTAGTTTTTTGCTTAAAATTCATGTTTCATAGATTTTCTTAGAAAATATTCTGCAAACTATATAAAAATAACCAAATACTTGTTACTCATCTATAATCATCTTTATGATTTAGTATAGAAAAAGCTGATATGAAAAGTGGAAATTCCAATACACTTTTTTAAATAAATGAAAATCTTCATTTCACAGATTAAATCTCTGCAAGTGACTGCAGGAAGAAGTCATCTGGATCTAATATACTAGTCCTTGTTGGAAGTAGAACTCCTCCTAAAGTTGTGTCAGAATCAGATATATCAGAGATCCTCCTGCACTTGCTAGTCCTGCTGTAAATCTTTTCTCACCTTTTGTGGTGCCCCAAATGATGCTGTTTTTGAAACAGAATGCATTGAATGCGTTGACAACCTTCTAATCTCATCAAGGAATGGATGGATAACTGTGTTATCCTACTAGGGGCTGCTTTTAAAACTATAATTAATCTGAGTGCAGTTGCCTACTTGCTGATGGATTGTTCCCAGTTTATCAGAGCAAAACATATTCTATGGCTGCTGCATCACAGTAGGCTATAGGTAAATTCAAAATTACAGTTATTATGTAATTCAGTTCAAAGTTCTGGTCCTTATCTATAAAGATCTTTCTGACTCAGGTACTTATTTCCTGTGGTACATATTCTCTAAATAGATTCTTTACGTTCTTTGTATTTTTCCTGAGAATATGCGTCTGATTCCTACCACCAATATTATCTAGTTGGGTAATGAAAATTTGCAAGCAAACAACCAAAATCAAGAGAGCATAAAGTACTCCACAGTCTTACTCTTTCAGTTAATTCAAGGTATAGAACACACACTCTCTTTGAGGATAGGATGGCATCCTCCTTGCTTTCATTCATGAAATGTTTCAAGGCCATTCTTTTCCAGTGGGTCTTTAGAGAGTACATTGGTAATTAATGCTACCTATTCCATACTATCTCTGAAGGTTATGTAATTCTGTGGAATTATTATATAGTTTTATTTATTATTTCCTTACTGCTGTTTCAGTTGCAGATAGGTGATAAATACTCAAATACCATGACATAACACATATAAAACAAAAACATTATACTTTATCAAAAAGTACTGATAATCATCATGATAAGCAGTTGAATTCTCAGTAACAATCAATCATTTACTGTAGGGTGGGAACTCACCATTCTATCATAGTCTTCTTGTTTAGTTGGTCTGGAAAATATGGGCCACATTTTTATTTTTCTGAATAAATTACTACAACAGCTATTGCTTTAGCATCTGTTATAGAGATTCTCATTTGCAGAGGGAAGAATCAGAGATGCTTTCATTTAAGAAATAATTGTTTAGCTTCATTGAATAAACATTCATCCCATACAGTACACCATTGAATATGCTGACTACTACTTCTCCTAATGAATTACAATGATATGGTGTTACCCTTATCAAAGATCTCTTTAAAAACATTACAGTAGAGAAATTTGTAACTAGACCACTAATAAAAATTAGGCTTGTGTGCTCCTACTTTGTGACTCTCCACAGGCTACTTTCCTAATGTAACTGGCTTCACTGAAATGTGCTTTATAAAAATATCCCATCCCTTACAGCTCTTAATTTTAGTGGTTGGTTTAATGTTAAGTATATATCCTTTTGGAGACTAGAGTTGAGTAGCAGAAGGTAACAAGGAATATGCTGCTGAATAGTCACGCTATCAATCACAACCGCCGAAGTTAAAACAAGGATAACTTTACTTGTTTTAACAAAAATAAAGTAGGATAAACATTCTCCAAAACAAGCGATAAGTAGTCTTGAATTA